ACAATGACCTGAATGAAATGTTACTGACAGATCCTGAGCTCAGAGAGCCAACGCTTTTATTTTGAAGCCTGCCCACTAAACTAAATGAAACCAGGTGGCAGCTCAATTTTCCCTCCTGAAAATGTTTTTTAATTAAAGGTTATATTACAGTGACTTCCTGTTTACATAACTGATTGCTGCTGATTGGACAGAGATGAACAGATTCTGTGAACCTTCATGCGATGTGATGGTCAGCTGCTGCAGCTCAGAGGTCGCCACGTTTATTCTAGAACTGAAAAACAAATAGAATGTTTTTATTTGTGTTTTCTTTTAAATTTTTTAATAAAATCTGTGAGAAGCCAGCGGCTACATTTGCATCTGCAGCGACACAGATGGAGAAGGTAAGAAGGAAACGTGGATCTTCCGACATTGAACATTTGGGACATTCAGCTGTTTTTCACTCAGATCTTAAGTAAAAGTAATAATACTTCTGTGAAATACTCTCTTACAAGCTGACAGTCTCACCCTGCCTTACCTGTAATCATGTGTTGATGATATTTTGTATTAATAATCAGAACGTTAGTGACTCTGGCTGATTTTCCTCTGAGGTGTAACTTAGTGGGCTACAGAAAATGGAGTAAATGTACTCTGGTGGCCACCTGTGTACTTCAAGACGATCCAACTGTCGTGCGTCTTCGCCATCAGGCGTGCAGCGTTAAACCGCTTTCCTGTGTTTACTTATTCAGGCTCAAGGCTCAGGCTTCAGGGGACACGTCCTCAGTTTAAACCAGTTTGTCCGTCACTGAGCTTCATCTCAAATGTCTCCTCACAGAGTCCGGCCATACGTTTGGAGCTCGAGGAGACCGGCAGTCAGGTCTGCACTGACCTCCAGTCAGAACCGCCACGACCGGAGCCCCCTGCTACCCAGGTGAGAAAAAATATACATGTATTCATGTATCATAAAATCTGTGCTAGTCGACACGTTTGCACAGCAGAGATGCAGTAAGTAGAAGTTTTTTACATTCAAATGACAAAGAGGCAGCTGCTGCTTCCATGAAGGAATCTCAGAATCAGAATCAGGTACATTTTCACATATTTTAACTTAACCTAAATATATAAATCTTAAAAGTTAAAGGTCTACTTCAGAATACTAATAACTTTATTTTGACAGTGCTGTCCATGGTTTCTGGGTTCTACACTGAATAGTACCATAAGATAAAAAAATCAAACGGTGAGACTTCATATCGGGAGAATAATCTTGCAGAGTGGAGCTCAGAGAACAACCTGCTGCTCAACGTCAGCAAAACGTAGGAGTCAAAGACTCTCCTGACTCCATCAGTGGAGCTCCCCCCCCCCCCCAAGCTTTTAAACCCAAATCCATCCTCAGCTCTGCTCCACTCAATCTACTTTATTTTTTCAATCTACTACCATTTTATGATTCTGCCCTGCGGTGGAAGAAGTACTCAGCTCTTGTACTTCAGTGTAGAAATACTCCGTTACAAGTAAAAGTCCTTCATAAAAAAAAAAAAAAAAAGCATTATCATCAAAATAAACTCCGTCTGCAGAGCGGCCCATTTCAGAACAACATACTGGTTTATATTTATTGATGCATTAAAGTTTCACTCATCATGTGTTGATTCATGATTTTATTTTTATTAATAATCAGAATCTGCAAAGTAACTAAAGCTTTAAAATAACTGTGGTGGAGTGAAGCAGTCTCACAGAGGAGAGTACAGAGGACTGACACAGGTCTTTGTGGACTGGTGTCAGCGAAATCACCTCCTGATCAACGCGGGGAAGATAAAAGAGACGGTGGTCGATTTTCGCACCGTCCGGTGAACATCCAGGGAATGGTCATTGAGAGAGTGGCCACTTATAAGTTGGGTGTTCACCTGGACTCACAACACAGATGCTCGGTACAAGAGTGGTCAGAGCAGGCTGTACTTCCTGAGGAGACTGAGGTCCTTTGGAGAGACAGGGCCCCTCCTAAAGACTTTTTATGACTCTGTGGTCACATCAGCGATCCTCTACGCTGCGGTCTGCTGGAGCAGCAGCATCACTGAGAGGGACAGAAAAAAGTTGGACAAGGGGATCAAGAAATCCAGCTCTGTCCTGGGCTGTCCTCTGGACTCAGCGAGGGAGGTGGGAGGCAGAAGGGTCCTGGCTAAACTGACAGCTATGCTGGACCATGAGACGCTCCCCCTGCACTGCACCCTGCCAGCCCTGGAGAGCAGTTTCAGTGACAGGCTGCTCAGATCTTTCCTTCCAGCGGCAGTCAGACTGTAAAATGAACACCGCTGACTCTGTGCAATATATCCCACGTGCCATTATTACATCTGTGCATAATTTTCATTTGTGCAATTTTACTAATTCATGTGCAATTATTGTAAAATACAGTTTGCTATATCTGACTTATGTGCATTGTCCTTCTACAACACTTTCATATTACCAGTATTTATTCATGCCGCAGGAGACTGTACAGTCTGTTTAGTCTTATTTAATGTACAGTTGTTTTTATTTACTGTAAGAACGAGACTTTCTTGTCTGACACTTGTTTATGCTACTTTGTACACTTATCTATCTCTGCTCTTGTCTTTGCTGTTGCAAACCGCAATTTCCCCACTGTGGGGACAAATAAAGGTTTTCTTATCTTATTCTTATCTTAGGCAGAGGCACAACTGCTCTCCACGGGTGTGGCTCCTCTGGCCGCTCGTTTACTCTGCTTTTAATTTGTGTTTCCTGTTTCCCTGTAAACAGGAAGTGATGTCGGGATGTGGGCGCGGCGGCTTTGAGGCCGAGCGGCAGAACAAACAGAGTCCGGACGAGCCTCTGCTGATCCACGGCCTGAGCGTGCAGCGTTACAGAGAAATCTACAACTCCGTGCTGCCGCCGTCTGTCCTCGCCGCTCTGTCCTCGTCAAAACAGGCTGTAAGACCCGCCCCTCCAGCAGGAAGCGGATTGTTACTCTCACACCTGTGACTCTTTATCACCGCTCCACACACAAACACTCAGCTCCACGCTGAGAAACGCTTCTGTCGTTGTGTGTGTGTTGTGTTTGACCTTTGACCCGAGCTGTGTTGACCTTTGTGGGCAGAGCCAATCAGTGCTGACCGCCGCTTGACCTTCCAGAAGGAGGAAAAACTACAGAAGTGCACAACCTTAGCATTGTAGCTAAGGCGTTTGAGCGCAGGTCAAAGGTCAGCACGTCACGTGTGTGTTTCAGTTTAACGTCAGACACAATTAAAGGCTGATGTCGTCTCGTTTGAAGGACTACGTCTCGCAGGTCCTGGAGCTGAAGCAGCGTCTGTGGACGCAGCTGAGTCGACCTCGGCTGGTGGAGACGCTCAGGGAGGACGGACGGGTGGAGGTCATGGAGATATTTGACCTGACTTAAGATGGCGTGGAGAGAAACCTGCATGTAGAAACTTCTAAATAAATCTGTTCTCTGTTTCTATTGGCTGCATGTAGCTGTATATTATACAGGTTACTGTCTTTGTACATGAGTTGTTTTGAAGAAACTTCTGATTGTTTTTCTCCCTCATCATTATGAATACGTGTAGAACCGGTTCTGGTCTGGACTCAGTCCTGCTGCCCCTCTGTGTTTACCTGTGGCTCTCAGCCTGAGCACCTGGGGGAGAAATCCTTCATGTTCAGACCACCAACAGGTCGGTCCGCCTGACTTCCTGTCTGCAGCTCTCAGCCCGTTGGTTCCTCCTGAACACGTCTCACCTCACAGACATGTAGTTGATATCTTTCAGGGCTTATTGGCGGCAAACTGAAGAAGTGTGAAATAAAAATATAAATACAGAGAAGGTAAATAATAATAACAAATGTAGAGTCGCAGTTAAAAAATAAAATTGTAGAACTGACGAAGCGATCAGAAACAGCAGGCCTGGTTCTAAACCTCCGACCAGCACTGAAGCTCACTGATGGGCTCGTTGTATCTGTTTAAATTTGTGAGCCGGACTTTGTCTCGACCAGGACCTGATCCTCCACAGACCAGCCCTGCAGTCCTGTAACTGCCTGTCCCATCTGTACCACTCGACCGACGGACAGCTGGAAGTTTGCGGGTTTGTCGGAGACAGCGGAGACATCATGAAGTCACAAATGTGGATTAGAGCTCCTGACCACAGTCTCAAGCTTCAGGGTCTTTGTTGGTACTCAGAAGACAGAATTAGGGTGTTATTAAAGTTTTAGAGCTGAGCTGTAGACCTGGGCTGGGAGGCGGACTCGCTCCCTGGTCTCGGAGCTGAGAGCCTCAGACAGGAAGTAAGTCGGCACTCTGCGGCTGAGCCTGTTCACCCTGCTGCCTTCTGGGAAGAGATGTAGAAGTTTCTGCTGCCGCGCCACCAGACTCCAGAGCAGCTCCGCCCCCCCAAGCTATCAGACTCTTAAGCTCAAACTCACCCTCAGCTCTGCTCCCCTGATCATAGTTTCTGTTTTGCTTCTATATTAGATGTAGATCTTCTGCTACGCAGCAGAAGGGAGAAACTCAATTTCACTCTATAACCCGACAAAATAAATCTACCTGCCTACATGAGACTTTCTGTGAGTCCGCATCTCTGCAGTCTTTGCCTGAGGGAATTACCCACAGTTCACAGCGTTGTGATGTTAAACGCGGGTCACCAGGGGAAGCCGGAGGCGTTAAAAAAGGGAAACAAACATGGAGGAGCAACGACAAGAAAAAAGAAGTTTACATGTGAGTGTGCGATGCGTTTTGGATAAAAACCGGTTCACTGATTATCACAGTTTACTCTGCAGGAGCCTGGAACACGTTCAGGTCCAACAGGCTCAGATCCTTCAGAACCAGGTGAGCCGAGTCTGGGAGGGATCAGGGGCAGACTGGGCCTGACACTTTGTGCCGTCGTTCTGCTGTAATACTGAATTGCAACGTGGCGCCCCTTTCTTCCTCGCTGTGATGGACTGGCTGGTGTGCTGGGGTGGACAAAATAACAGAAACACCTGGCAGAATGGCCCAGTCCTGTTGACCAGCAGCAGGTGAATCAAGACTGAAACATCAGAACTTCATCAATTCATTTATTCACAAGTGCGACGTCAGATGGACTTTACAACAACGTTACACACAAAGAACAATAAACCGGCCAATCACAGGTGGAGGGGGGGGTTGATGCATCACTGATCAGAGGTCGGAGGCGGAGCAGGCTTCAGATGCCCATGTAGGTGTTCATCTTCCCCAGAGCGTCACACACGGTGGTGAGGTCGCTGCGCAGGTCCTGCACCACGTTCTCGATGCTGCGGGTGTCTTTGAGCAGGTCGATGCTCTGAGTGTACGGGTTGTAGTACACCGAGAACGGCCTCTTGATCGACTTCGCAAACTCCCTGTGGAGAGAAAACAAACACGGTTTAATTATCACGACTTCCCTTCTCTCCCAAGTCCAAGTCCAGGTGCCTTCAGGGGAACATGAGGAAGAAAGCAGCTAGATGACGCTGAGAGGACGTCTCTGCCGGTTTTACGTCTCTGACCTGCGTTTTCTTCTACATTTGTCCTGTAGTCTGAAGATCGTTTGCAGTGTTAGGAGGACGTTAAAGGTTTAATTACTCTTCCCAGTAATGTTCAGGTGAGCTCATCTTTCTGCTTAACGCTCTGTAGCGTGCGGCCTGTTCTCTTCTCCAGAGGTTCCTCAGGTGCTTCTCTCTCTGCCCTCCTAGCAGCTCGTCCAGCTTGTGAGGTGAAACCTCTACAGATGGTTCTGAGCTCGGCAGCCCGTCTGGTTTCTAATCAGCCCAAAAGGACTCATGTCCCTGCATTACTCAGTGACCTCCACTGGCTTCCCGGGGCCTCCAGAATCTAATCCAAGTCCCTGATGCTTCATACTGGGTCTGCACCATCTACCTAAACTCCATAATCCACGCGTGGGACTGCTCGCTGTTTACCTCATCTTCTCCTTGGCCTCCTCGAAGCTGTCGGAGACGAAGTAAACGTCCTGGAAGGTGGTGATGAGACACTCCTGGTTACAGGTCGTCCTCGGGTCAAACATCTTCACACAGGCCTTGTCCGACAGGGCATGCTGGGAAAAAAAAGATTAGGATCAGAAGAAGAAGAGAACTTATTAATCCTTGTAGGGGAAATTCAGTTTTTATCGTTATAAACATTCATCTTCTTTTAATTGATCAACTTTCAGGATCATTTTCAGCTCCAGCATGTTTTCATACATTTATTTTACCGTGTACTTTGATTGGCAGGATTTTATAAATTAAACTTAATTAAAAGTTTTAAATAAAGTTTATGATTTTTATTATTATTGTTTCAGCCATTTTTTTGCTTCTTTCTGGTTTATATCTTGCTGAACTGAATCTCTTTGGGTTTTAAACAGCTCAGATAATAATAATAATAATAATAATAATAATAATCTTTCACCAGAGCAAAAGGAGAAAGAAACTTAAACTTACTAAAATACAGTTAAAAGAAAAATGGATAAATAATTAAAATCAACTAAAATCAGGAAAGACTGTCCTGTAGAAGTTGGTTTTAAAAGAGTTCACTGAACAACAAAACTAGAAACACAGATATCAATATGTGGGACACGTTCCTGATATATAGAGAAACGTTTTTAGGAAAATGACAGATCCATCCATGAGGGATTTTCTCCAGGTGGAAACTGAAACCCGGACTGAGGGACTTTTAATTCCTTTTGCACAAAACTTTCCCTCAGCAAAGACGTGAAACAGGCTGCTATCAAACTGCTTATTTAGACCAGAATGAATTTTTCTTTTCTTTTCATGTGTCTCATTTAACAAACAGTGAAGCTTCAGTAAAATGAGCTCTTAAATAAGGGAGAGTGTAGCTGACCTAACGGTTATCGGTGTGTCTAAGCAGCTTAGAAGCAGCTGTGGCAGGCGACCCGGCTTTAAGAGGTTTTGTAAATGTTCCGTATAGCTAGTCTTCTCAACCACTTTTACACTACATCTGCACTAAGCACACATTCATACACTGGTGGAACAGCTGCCAGGGGCAACTCGGGTTCAGTGTCTTGCCCAAGGGCACTTCGATATGCAGCGTGGAGGAGCAGGGGATTGAACCGCCGACCTTCCGATTAACAAGTAACCCGCCCAACTCCTGAGCCACAGCCAGAAGGAGGCGTCGTGGCAGAGAGACGTGTGTGTTTAAAGTTTATTCATAAATCACCTTTCACAGAGAAAATCGCAAAGTGCTTCACAATAAAGTGTCAGAAAATACAACAAAGAGTACTGTGTGTGTATCAGTGTGTGTACTTGTCTGTGTACTGTGTGTATCAGTGTGTGTACTACTGTGTGTACTGTGTGTATCAGTGTGTGTACTACTCTGTGTACTGTGTGTATCAGTGTGTGTACTGTGTGTGTACTACTCTGTGTACTCTGTGTACTGTGTGTATCAGTGTGTGTACTTCTCTGTGTACTGTGTGTATCAGTGTGTGTACTGTGTGTATCAGTGTGTGTACTACTCTGTGTACTGTGTGTATCAGTGTGTGTACTGTGTGTGTACTAATGTGTGTACTGTGTGTACTGTGTGTATCAGTGTGTGTACTGTGTGTGTACTGTGTGTATCAGTGTGTGTACTGTGTGTATCAGTGTGTGTACTACTCTGTGTACTGTGTGTATCAGTGTGTGTACTGTGTGTGTACTACTGTGTGTACTGTGTGTATCAGTGTGTGTACTACTCTGTGTATCAGTGTGTGTAGTACTCTGTGTACTGTGTGTGTACTACTCTGTGTACTGTGTGTATCAGTGTGTGTACTACTCTGTGTACTCTGTGTACTGTGTGTATCAGTGTGTGTATCAGTGTGTGTACTTCTCTGTGTACTGTGTGTATCAGTGTGTGTATCAGTGTGTGTACTGTGTGTGTACTTCTCTGTGTACTTCTCTGTGTACTGTGTGTATCAGTGTGTGTACTGTGTGTGTACTACTCTGTGTACTGTGTGTATCAGTGTGTGTATCAGTGTGTGTACTGTGTGTGTACTACTCTGTGTACTGTGTGTATCAGTGTGTGTATCAGTGTGCGTACTGTGTGTGTACTACTCTGTGTACTGTGTGTATCAGTGTGTGTATCAGTGTGTGTACTACTCTGTGTACTGTGTGTATCAGTGTGTGTATCAGTGTGTGTACTACTCTGTGTATCAGTGTGTGTAGTACTCTGTGTACTGTGTGTGTACTACTCTGTGTACTGTGTGTATCAGTGTGTGTAGTACTCTGTGTACTCTGTGTACTGTGTGTGTACTACTCTGTGTACTGTGTGTATCAGTGTGTGTATCAGTGTGTGTACTACTCTGTGTACTGTGTGTATCAGTGTGTGTATCAGTGTGTGTACTGTGTGTGTACTACTCTGTGTACTGTGTGTATCAGTGTGTGTATCAGTGTGTGTACTACTCTGTGTACTGTGTGTATCAGTGTGTGTATCAGTGTGTGTACTACTCTGTGTACTGTGTGTATCAGTGTGTGTATCAGTGTGTGTACTACTCTGTGTACTGTGTGTTACCCTCAGCTCTCCAATAGACGACAGTAATCCGGCTCCGTAGGCTCTCAGCTGGCCGTCCTGTTTGCAGAGTCCGAACTCGATGGTGAAGAAGTAACACTGTCAGAACACACGAGCGTCGTTAGTGAGTCTGTTCACCAGCAGCCTGTTCAAACCCTCACTTCTTCATTCATTGTTTGCTTTAAGATCTTTGCTTTATTGTGGACAGTTAAGAGAGTAGAGCTGCAAAGATCGGTCGATTAATCGCTAATTCATAGTTTGCACGTGACGTCACATTCGAAGGGAGACGCTCCCCTGGAGGCCAAAAAAGACGTCATTTTCCGCTCTCTCTTTACAGGGCTCTGGGCAGTCCACAAAGCATCAGGTGACGTCAACATGACCACGCCCACTTCTTATGCTGCGTTCCAGGCAACCAGGAACTGGGAAGTTTCCGACTTCCAACTAGAAAAAGTTCTGTACCCCGAATGACATAAAGGAAAGTATTAAACTAAAATAATGCTTACTAGTATCAAATAGTGAATCTTTTTCTGTAAAAAGTCATCTTCAGTTATTCAGGAAAATGTTAAAAACGCCCAGAAATGTGAAAACATTTGGAAATGCAGCCCAAAACTTCTGCTGAGGATTACTAACTGATGTAGCTGGAAGGATTCACAGTTAACGAGTATATTTATCACGTCATTTTAATTAACACCAAGTGCACTGCTGAGGGTTTAACTGTGCAGAAACTGGCCAAAGTTTGTCACGGTCAGCCATATTTATTGTTTACATTTGGCATCATGCACCTGAAACGCTTTGAGGCCGGAGGAAATTTCCCTGTTCCCAGCGGTCTGGAACGCAGCGTTATATAAAGGTAGGTTTAGTATATTTAACAGTAAAGTCAGAGTAAGGAGGTGGAAGTGCTTACGTAGGTTACACAAGTAAAGTTGATCAACTTAAGTAAATTAACTAACGTACTACGTAACAGTTATTTTAAGCCAAACAATTATCTTTTTTCTGAACCTAAACAACTTGTGACGTTTTACATCGTTAAAAAGTACTTTTATTTTGAAAGTCTAACTGGACGTTGCATGTTTATTGTTGTTACCTTGACCTATGGTCCCTGCAGGACGCCAAAGGTATTAAAAAACGCAGCCAAGAGGTCTGACCAAGTGTCACATGTGACGTGTTGTGTTCAGCCCTTTAGAGGAGAAGCTGTGGGTTATAAATGTGTGTGTGATTTGATCCCTGTGGGCTCTAGGGGGCGCTGCTGTGACTGAGGAGAGTCATTTAACAAAGCTAATGTTTTCGTCTGATGGCGGTGCTGATTAATGGTTATTGCCACTCACCGTGGCCAGTTTCTGGACGTCCTCGTCGGACGCTCCCAGAGAAGCCAGACCGATCTCCTGAGAGAACTGAGCGAACTTCGGATCGGCCAGCAGAGGAACGTGACCCAGCAGCTCGTGACACGTGTCTCTGACCCGGACACACAGCAGACACAAGGTTAGCTTAGAGAACTGAACCAGGATCAGTTTCATCAGAAACACGTGAAACATGAACAGAACCGGAACCATAAACAGCAGGTGAACTCACGGTTCGGGCGTGTAGAGCGGGTCGGTGCTGTGACGAACATACTGGGTGCAGTTAAACACTCTGTAGGCCAAACCGGCCAGGAAGTCTCTGGGAGACAGGTAACCTGCCACAGGGCGCACCGTGAAACCCGACCTCTCTGAAACACATTCACCCAATACTCTTACACACTACATACATTATAGAGTACACATATCAGACAGTATTACAGAGTACATAGAAATGAATGAGAAAGAGGATTTCACTAAATGTTGTTCCTTTAACAACAAGCTGAGGTGCTTTGCTTTCTTTGTCTTCTCTGGTTGAACGTCTTGAGTACTTGTACCTACAAGTACCTCATATGTGTACTTAAGCACTTGAGACGATGTACTCAGTGGCGTCACCTCGGAGGAACAGCGAGACGTCCTCCAGCTGCGGGATGTTGTCTTCTCTGTAGCCGCAGTGTTTGCTGAGCAGCGGCAGGTTCTTCAGGTACTCCCTGCAGGCGTGAGTCGGGTACAGTTTGGTCAGTTCTCTGAAGACCACCCCCCACGTCCTGACCTCCTCCTGGTTGTACTCGATCCGAGGGATGGGCTGCCCGCTGGGGAGGAGACAGACGGACATCAGAACGTGAAACACGACTTTCTGACGCAGGTTCCTGACAGACAGCAGAGGTCGGGCGTGGTCCTTCATGAGTTTCAATCCACCAGACGCTCAGACACTTACAATTTATAATTCATGGCCACTTCCACAAAGTACTTCCTCCTCTGGCGGTAAACTTCGTCCTTAAAGCCCTGAGGAAGAAGAAGAGGAAGAAAACAGTGACTCGATCACGGCTCTTTAGTGCCACGCAGGAAGTGAGTCACCTGTTCAGAGAAATGCACCTCACGGTCACTTCCTCTTTCTCACCTGGGACTCGATCACTGCAGGTGCGTTCGAAATGACTGTGGCTGACTCTCGCCGACATGAGATCGCCGTGACGAGTGGGAACGTAGCGGGTAGAGTTTTGCAACATGAACATCTATAAACTGAAGCTGCTCTGATTGAGACTCTGTTCGAGCTGCACTTTATCAGAGACGCTGAAGTTAACCTGTGTGGATCTGTGCTGAGATTTCTGCCTGATCACAAGTGTTTCAGTTACTTTTGGTTTCACGTGCGGCGTGCAGTCCCAAACTGTGTCGGTCAGACGGTCTGAAGGGGATAATGTCACTACCAGCGGGTCAATAACGTGATGCACCGCAGAGTAAAGGGCGGGTAGACTTCTCATTATATGATGACGTTGATATTCTGCCTTTTTCATTGAGGTTTAAAGATCCCACAGTCACATTTAAAGGGGTTACTTCCCCAAACAAAGAGACAAAGACGAGGGGAGACTAACTCAGCAGACTGACTTAGATTCTGTGGCAGTTACGTTATAAATTTTGAAACCTGCCTCCTGACTTTTGTGTTTCTCTTTAATTAAATGAAATAAAAAATAACTGTAAACTAAAAGTCATCAGAACTGCAGTAAACTCACAATGTTTGTTTATTATTTTATGCCAAAAAGGAAGAATGCAGCATCTACCTCTCTCTATGAGAGGGGGGGGGGTCCAGACTTCAGACACCTGAAAACATCGGGGGCCACATCAAAAAGACCTCATCTCTGGTGAAGTTGAGATACCGAACTCTACGCATGACTGTTAAAATGCCTTTGATGTGAGAGACCCGGGTTCAATTCCCAACTGTGACCCGAGCGTGAGCGTCATCGTTTCTAAAGTCGTCCGTTTTGGCCCGTCTTCACTAAAAACACCCTCCGGAGTTTTGAAACGCAAAACGGGGTTGGCAGCGTTTCTTCGTTTTCATCGTTGTAGTCTGGACGGGAGGTGCAAACGTAGCATAAGGTCTCCGTTTTAATTCGAAAACGCAGTAGTGTGGACGCGGCCTTAACCCCTAGTTGCTCCAGAGGCACGCGACCTCTGACATAAATAGCAATTGTAAGTCACTTTGGATAAAAGCGTCTAAAGCTAAATGAATAAATGTAAATATATTAAGCTTGTCCAGAGACGCAACCTCAACCTGAACCAGGCTTATGACCTAAAAACAAACTCTGACTGCATCACACACACACAAGGCCGCGCTCTCCTTTTCACGCCGACGTGCCGAACTGATAAAGAACAGACAGAAACTTCCTTTGTGTGAACAAAGAGTGTTGTGTCCTTATAACTTGTGTTCTTACTCTGTTTAGCTAAATAATCTTTAACAGTTATTTAGTAGTTCTCCTCGCTCCAATTTTTGAGAAGTTGATTGTGTTATTAATTAGCAACTATGTTGGAAAGAAGGAACCACAAAGAAAACGTTTTGTGTTTTAACTAATGCTTTGTTCCAAGCACCTTTATACACTTTCTTATAAATGATATGGTTCAGAAATATTATCATCAATCTTCCCAGCTCCTGAGCAAAGGATTGAGTCCACTATAAGTCTACTAGTCAGTAATTTCCAGGTCCTCTCATGGAACCAGGGTCCCCCCAGAGGACAAAAGGAAGTATTACATGCCATTGTTCTGGCTGCCCCTCCTTGTGCTTAACTTGTATTACTGTTCTTATGACTTTCTTATATATTTTCTTAGTAAGAACGTTTAACAGTCACTATTCTCCTGGAAGTATTTAGTTAAGTTGTTCTGTTAGCTGCTATGAAATGTATTAACTGTTAACAATACAATTAGCTTTGGCCTTTACTTTAATCCTTTAGTCCTGAAACTCTTTGCCAAATTGAACTTGTTATTATATAACTTGCGTTCATTAGTTCTCTTATTCCCTTAGAATCTAATTCTTTCCCACAATAGACCAACTAAATTCACATTGACCTCTGTTACTCTCATTGATTGCATCCTGGTTGTTTAGTCATTACTGTTGTTTTATTTCTAAATTTCTAGATATATTTGTATTCACTTTAGTTAGTTAATAAGTTCCACCTTAATCACAGGAATGGTGTGTGTGTTCTGTTTAGCTCCAGGTCACTGGACGCATGGTTCACCTTTGATTTGAGACTGACTGATTGATTAAACTGATTTAAAATCATTTAACAATTTCTAACTAACTGATCACTAGTAAGAATTGTGTAATTATTAGCTATAGCATCGGGGTGCTTTGGTGACAGGAATGTTGATGAATATTCACAGTTTTTATCAATATTTCAATGTTTTGTTATTTGGAACAAATAGTGTTTTAAAGATAACTCTCAATAAAAGTCAACATTTAAACGGTAAATATTACCAAAATATGGACATTCGCCTGGTATATTTTGAAAATATTGTATGATAAAGGTTGTGTTTTAGTTTATTTTCATTACAGTCATATTCCAGGTGTATTAGAAGATATTCAGGTGCATTATAATCTATCTTTTGATGGGTTATTGCATTAAAATATAGCTTTTTTTACCAGGCAAGGATGAAAATATCATTTTTTCTTTAGTGCATCTCCATGTAGTCTGTAATGATAAAATAAATATATTAATATACAATGGATTTATATTCCTTAGCTTCTGACGTTTCAAAGGAGAACAGAATTATGCATCTAGGCCATGAGGAAATATTACTGGTTTGTTATTGTAGGTGTTTTTCCTGGAAAAAGGTGCCTGTGCCCACAGAAGATTTAATGAAAACTAAAGATAAGAAACTAGCTACTTTCCCATGGGAAAGGAGCTAGTTTCTTATCTGTCCGTCCTTGATGGCCTTGAGGCCTTCATCTCAGGGCTCCCTTCCTCCCTGAGACAGCTGCGTAACAACATCGGAGTATAAAGGCACCTGTTTCTTTACTGGCTCTTTGTCTTACACTCTGCATATCTGTCTGACCCTTTGCAAAGAATAAAACTCTTAAATGAACTCTTTATTTCAGAAGACTCAGGCCGAATCCACATGGACACGGGGATTTTTATAAGCAGAGTTTTTCTCTGTCTACACCAGAATGCTTTCAAGCGCTGCCATGAGCACGCCAAACCACCAGGCGGCGATATGACTCTAACCGTAAAGCCATGTTGGCCAATCAGAGGCTAATAAAATGGTAAATAAAGCAGACAGTGGCCACAATCTAACATCAAACACAGCAGATAACGATGCGGACTCTGACGTCACAAGGCAGAAACTCTGGTTTCAGTGTCCACACTGCAACTAGAAAAAATCCTCACCCTGGCAGGGGTGTTCAAAAATATTCGGCTTCAGGACTGACATTATACAGCTATTTTCTTATGTTGTTAGTATTATGTGACATTTAATAAAGCATAACGTTATTACTGCGGAGTGATGTTGTGCTATAGTTTTAACACAGCCCTACTGTAACTTTGCTAGTGTTTACAGCCAACAGCTGATGAGAGTTGTTCTGGGTCCACTTCAGAGGTCTGACAGGGTTCTACCGGGAGCCGAATTACCTCCCAGGTCATCTCCTCTCCAAAACAAACAGACCCGGTCATTAAAACATTAAAACACAGCCACGTAGAAACGTTAGCGTTAGCCCTGTGGTGTGTTTACAGCCAACAGCTGATCCAGGTCCACCAGAGAACGCAATGTAACTTTTCCTTTTTATTTACCAACAGAGCCGAGCTGTTGTTTCACAGCTCGTGACTGGTGAACAACCTGCCGTGTGTGAGAGCGATGTGCTCATGTGTGTTTCTCTCTGTCTGCAGAATCCGGACCTGATGTGGCCCATTCTGCGTCCAGACCTGCCAAACTGCTGCGTTTATATAATGTGTAAATATTTCTTTGTTCCTCTCTCTGTGCTGGAGTTCTTTAAGAACTTGGTGGCTTGATCCAGTTTATTATTAAATTGGTTGAATTTTAATAGTGTGTGAGTGTGTTTATTCGTATAGTGTATCAAGCTTATTACTTCAATATATTTACTGCAAATCAAACGTGCAGCTGGCCCAGATCCAGAGAGAAAAGAGACAGGAGCACTGTGTTGTGTTCGGCTCGGTGTGCAGCTCTTACAGGATGGTCTGCGTCCAGCTCGGATCCGTACATCAGCACTCGGTGAGAACACTGATCCAACTCGGAGATCTTCATCGGGAACCAGGGAACATCGTCTCCATCTGATTTCAACAGGACGAGAAACAGAACTGCAGTTTGTTGCTTCAACTTCCTGTTAGAGACAAACACACGTCCTCCGCTGCAGAATAAACTTTGTCTTTATGGAAGGAAATGAAAACAACCTGTTAATCCACCCTCAGAAGCTTTATTTGATCTGTATTATACATATTCTATATGATATTAATGAAGATTAATTCATTTAATTGTTCATCTTAGATCTGAAAATGTCCACTTGAGGTTTTCCACTGGACTTGAACTACTGAGGTTTACAGAAGAACTACAAACATGGCGGCTGCTCTGTAGCCTGCAGTGTAGTTTGATCTAAACGATGATAAAACAGCTGATTGCACAATTGCTAAGTATGTCAGAGCTCACACGCCTCTGGAGCAACGAGGGGTTAAGTGTCTCGCTCAGGGACACAATGGTGGACGTGTCGCAGGTGTTCGTACCTGCCTCGGCCGACCAGACGTGTGCAGGTGTGTTGAAGGAGATGATGTTGACGTGGTCTTTGAGATGCTGCAGCAGCTCGTTGAACTCCTTCTTACTGCAGCTGCAGTCGGCAAAGATCTCCACCTCGTTCACCACTCGCTTCGACACCCGGGACTCGATGTGGTTCAGGTTCACTCGCTTCTCCTGCAGGGGGGGGGGGGTGAGAGAGGGAGGAGAGGGAGAGAGGAGAGGAGGAGAGAGGGAGGGGAGGAGAGAGGGAGAGGGGGGAGAGAGGGAGAGGAGAGGGAGAGAGAGAGGAGAGGAGAGAGAGAGGGGAGGAGAGAGGGAGAGGGGAGGAGAGGGAGGGAGGGAGAGAGAGAGAGAGGAGAGAGAGGAGGGAGAGGAGAGAGGGAGAGGGAGGAGAGGGAGAGAGAGAGAGAGAGAGGAGGGGAGAGGAGAGGGAGAGAGCGAGGGAAGAGAGGGAGAGAGAGAGGGAGGAGAGGGAGGGAGAGGTGGCGGAGAGGGA